TTATGTTGATGATTTATTTTTGGAGCTACTAAAGATCACTTGTGCAAAGAGTTTTCAAATGATATACAAAGTGAATTTGAAATATCCATGATGGGCGAGTTAATTTTTTCTTTGGACTACAAATAAGGCAAACCAAAATTGAATTTTTTTTTAAATCAAAGCAAAAATAGTATGAAATTACACAAAAGGTTTGGAATGGAAAATTTTTTGCTTGCTCTTTACCTTTGGATTATTTTGTTATTATATTCTTTTTGATGTTGCCAAAGGAGGGGGAGAAAAGATAAGGATCACAAAAGAAAAAAGACCACATTTATCTTAATCCTCTACTTGGCTTTTTGATGTTGCCAAAGAGGGAGAGATAAGACCGCAAAGGAAAAGAAAATGTTTATTTTTTTTCTAACATTACTTTTGGCTAAGTTTGACTAAAATATTTTGACAAAAATATTCTTGATGCCCAACTTGACACTTATGTTTTAAAATATAAACATTTATCTCTACAATTAATGCTTTACTAAGGGGAAGTTTAAGGGGGAGTGATCGAAATATATTATTTTCTTTTCTTTTCCTTTATAGTGAATTGTCTTCATCAAAAAGGGGGAGAATGTGGAAGAAAATATGCACAAAGTTTTGATGATACCAAAGCATTAAAGAAAATAAAAGTCAAGTTAAAGCAATCTGATCAAGAAGCAAGATCTCAAGTAATAACTAGATAAGTCTTGACTACTTAGCTTAGTATGTAAAATAAACTTTTAGAATTTGCAATCACTTGGCCATTAAAATAAGGATTTCAAGAAAACCTAAACTTAATCTTTTTGAATATAAGAATAAGTTGTTTGAAAAGAAAGCAAAAAGAGTATTCAAAAGATTAAACAAATATATTTTTAACTAGAAAATAAAAGCATTTTATATCTTAAGTTTTCATAAGCCAAATCAAGTGATATGTGTCTGGTAATCGATTACCACTTGATGTAATCGATTACCAAAGAAAGAAAACTTCTTTGTGCAAGGTTCAAATGTTAAAATGCTCTCTGGTAATCGATTACCAGTCATTGTAATCGATTACCAGAAGATAAAATTTCAAAATTTGAATTTAAACGATACAACGTTTCAAACATTTTGAACTTTAACCATTGTAATCAATTACCAAGTCTTGTAATCGATTACCAGAGCCTATTTTCTAAAAAATTATAGAAAGTTACAAGTCTTCATGAAAAGACATAATCTAAGAAATAATTATCTATAAATACCTATAATTTTTCAGAGAAAATGGACGAACTCTATTGTGAAAATCATTTACAAAAACTACTTGGCCAAAGTCATTTGCAAAATCTCTAAAGAGTTCATCAAGATCATGAAAGTGTAATATCTACTCTTCAAAAAGAGTCATTCTGTAAAACTCAATTGATCATTGGATTTGTAAAGGAGAAAGGGTTTTTCTCCTTGTTGGTTTTTGAATCTCAACACAAGGAAAGGGAGTTCTGAGGTGTTGGAGGATTCAAGTCTTGTAAGGTTTACAAGAGTAGTGGAAATCTCAAGTGGGAGACTTGATGACTGGATGTCGGCAAGATTGGCCGAATCAGTATAAAATCAAGTTTACAATTCTTCTTTTCCTACACTTTTAATTTCTTGTTATTAATTGTAATTGTGTAGTTTGCATCATCATTCATTCTTTACATATAAATTTATCTAGGAAATTAAATTTTATAAGAAAGTAATTGGAAAAATTTTTATAAGAGAAAATTTAGAAAACTTAATTCACCTCCCCTCTTAAGTTAATTGAGGCTAAGTGACTAACAATAGGTCAATATGAATTTTTTTATATGTAAAATAAACTTTAAACTATGAAAATAAAAATTATTTTTATGAATAAAAAAATTATTATCGCTAAGGTCATGAGATAAGGGTGAATTAAAATTGGTTAGTTTGACTTTTTAAAAGTCAAATTTAACTAATTTATAAGATATAATTATATTTTTAGGTTCTAATTTTGCAAGAATAATAACTTATTTATAACTCTTTCATGCAATAAGGTTTTCGATTTAGAAATAAATTTATACTTCAATCAATTTATAGAATTGATTTTTCACATGTAGGTAGACATACTTAGTTATTTAAAAGATAAATAATTATACCGTAAAATAAAACATAAATAAATATAATATTTTAATAAAGTATACAAAATTAACATAAAAATATTAAAAATGTATTTATATTTAATTTCAAATGACATAAAATCTAATGTTTTCAATAAATTTTTTTATTGAAACCTTAAATTAAATTTAGAATTTGTTGCTGATCAACTATCAATGTAAAAATAATAACATTGTCAATCAATTAAAAGGTACTCAATGTTAATATGAATTTTAAGATAATTATTATAAAGTTTACAAAAATTACCATATAAGTTGGTGATTTTTTTTTTTTTTTTGGTGATGTATGAAATAAAAGACAAGCAATAAAACTACACAAAGAATTTAGTGTCTGCCCCCATTACACACGCAAAATTTAGAGGATTCCTTCATTTAACATTATTGACATTATTACTAAAGTCTCATCCTATCAAAATATGGATGACTTGATTTATATCACAAGGAATAACATCATACTGATGCAACATTTTAAAGGAAGCATGCCGATCATGGGAAATATATCCCTTAATCTTGAGATCTCATCACTATGTTTGTGCCAAGCATCCTTCTTCTAAATTAGACCCTAAATAGTTGCATCAGTCTCAAGATAGTCAAATTCACATATTATATTGCATAACCCCATTACAATAAAATGTGTTTTTACCGACGTTAGAAAAATATTACTAAATTATAAGTAAATGTTGTTAATATGCTTTTGCAATGTGTATCAAATGTAAGATAAAACCAACGTCACTAAAGATTTTTAGCAATATTTTTACATATTAATGCAACATTTTAAAATTTTTTTACCAAATTAAATTAGTATTTTGCAACATTTTAATAATGTTAAATTTTTATAAATTTTATAAAATAATAATTAATATTAATATATTACGAAACATCCCCAACATAATCAGATTCACATATTATATTATGGAATCTCCTCTCACACAATACAACAAAATGTATTTTTAGAAAAATGTTGCTAAATTACGAGTAAATTTGTTAATATACTTTTGCAATGTTTGATCAAATGTAAGATAAAACCGATGTTACGGAAGACTTTTAACAATATTTTTACATATTAATATAACATTTTAAAAAGTGCTACCGAATTAAATTGGTATTTTACAACTTTTTAATAATGTTGTTAAGTATTTGTAAACATTATAAAATGATAATTAGTATTAATATAAATTATACTACAACTTATATTTTGTGACTCTTGTCAACAAGTCCTTTAAGATTGAAAATATTCTATTTTTAAGAGGAGATATCTTAAGTAAGTTACTATCAAATTTTATTTATCTTAAGTTTTACTCTAAGGTTAAATGTACTTTTTATGTGTCAATATTTGAGACTTTAATTGTGGGAAATAATTAGATATTGAAGAAGTATATTCTTTATATGTCATTCTTTTACTCGATATGAATCTTAATTTTGGAAAATAAATAAAATGAATAATATTGATATTAAAAATATTACTTTACCTATAATATTGTCTCTAGTCCTAATTGTAAGCAACAAATTGTACATTTTTTTGTCCTAAACATAAGCAACAATCATTAGTTTTTTAAAATTTACTCTTCTTTTATACTATTTATTTATTGTGCACTATATTTCCTATGTACTCAAGACGAACATTAAATATAAAAACCACTTAAAATAAATGGTATATTTAGAATAAAATACGATTTTATTGCATAATTTATTACAAGTAATTATATTAATTACTTTTCTTGATTTTTTTGAGAATTTATCTTATGTTACTTATAATTAGGATAGGAGGTAATAACATTTTCTAAAAAAATGTTGCAGGAATCTATTAACTGAATTTATAATAATATTTTTAAAAATGTATGTGTATAAATATTGTTCAAAAATATTAAATATAATATAGTTGTGGTATTATAAATTTGTAATCCTATTTCAATGTCCAACAACTCTGCATGCCCATAAGGGGTCTTCGTTAGAACACAAATTAGAATTATTACTAGCATTATATTAGTTGGTGATTTGTGATAGAATGTAAAACTGTTTTGCATTCTATTATTCTATCATTGTGCGTAGCTTTTTCTTCTCTTAAATAAATTTATTTCTTAAACAAGTCTAGCTTCATATGATACATGAGTAACTTTCATCCTTTATAATTTGTTTATTTACATCTCTAAATGTTTATTTTAAATTTTTTCGAATTTATTACTTTTTATAGATGAGATGATAAGATTATAACTAGGGGGCATCGGTTGAAGTATCATCAGGGCTTGGCGTTATTCAGAAAAAATAAAAAATAAAAAATCAGGGCTTGGCGTTGAGGTCGAGAAAGTTGGAAAGATGAAGATTATATACGAAGAAGGAATAATGTCCTTTCATTTCCCCGAAAAGGGAACGGATTTCCTCATTTAGAACATGCTATACTATATATCACATTAAATTTATGTGTATCTGTGTATCATCATCGGTGTTAATGTGTATACATTAAATAGACTTTGTAAATAAAAACTACAAAATTTAAACTCAAAAGTCTCAACATATTCTCTTTGTTGTTTCTTTCTTTAAAACGACTTTCGATGCACGACTGCATGAAATTTTCAAGATAAGGAAGCGAAGAGCCAATGGACGGAGTTGAAAAGAAGGTGATCTTATGTCTACTCGACTACTTCCAATTACTGTATAATAAAGTATAACAATTCTCTAGGTTCGTTTTATTTTTAATTTCTATCTCAATTCACAGTGCATATTTTCAGACTTTACATTTCCAACATAAATACTTGAAACACTTAGAAAAGCTCTCAGACAACAAAAGAAAGTTAACTTCAATTTTTCAACAAAAGTTGTATTCTCTTAGAGACTTAACTATTGCCCACTTTCATGGCTGCTAGTAAAACCGAGCAACAGGTTACCTTGAAGCTTATGGTAATCAAAAAAAGAAACAAAGTTCTTTTTGCAGAGGCAGGGAAGGACTTTGTGGATGTTCTGTTTAGTTTCTTAACTCTGCCTTTAGGTACTATTGCAAGACTTGTGCGTAAGGAGTCAAATATGGTGTCAAGTAAGGTTGGTTCACTGAGTTCACTCTATGAAAGTGTCGAGAATCTTGACGAAGAGTGTTTGTGCGACAAAGAAATGCTATTGCGACCCAGAAACTCAATGGATGTTTATTGCAAGAATGTGGAGCTAAACATCGATGACACAAACTCCAGTGAGTACTTTGTATGTAACAACTTGGTCAAGTGTCGATACAATAGCCCGGTCTTCTTAAGCACCAATCAAAATAATAGATGTACATGTGGGGCCATGTTGGCTAAACCGATTTTTCCTAAAAGATCTGAAGGCTTTGATGGTTTTGTTAAGAAATGTAATGGCAGTTTTTTAATCACGGACGAGCTGAAAGTTTTGCCAAATTCGTTGGTTACTTTTTTGCATCTGCTCAAAAGTTATGGAATAAAAGACATGTCTTCGCTTGATGAAGTGATTCTGACTATAACTAAGAACCAGGTTTCTTTATACTCATTTCCTTGAATATATGTCACATTGCTTAGGATTTCGTTTTTAATGAATTATTTGATGTGATGATTATAATTAATTGATTTATACCTTTTACAGGTATTGGATCTGCTTAAGGGTTGTTTGTACTCAAAGACAACTTTGACCGATGTTTTCTTAGAACAATTGTATTTTGAGAAACTATTTACAAGGAATGAATTTGTTCCATGTGATTTTGATGCAAATGTTAGTAGTTGCAAAATAAAAGTGAAAATAATGCAAAGAAAATCGAATGGGAAGATACTGTTTGCTCAAGGAAATAAAGATTTTGTAGACTTTCTTTTTAGCTTCCTTACTATTCCTTTAGGAGGTGTGGTACATTTGATGGAAGGTTGTTCTTTCATTGGCAGCGTTGATGGATTGTACAAGAGTGTGATTAATTTGGATGAAGATTATTGGACTTCAAAAGAAGTAAAGATTAAGTTTGCTAATCCTGTGCTTGCTCATGTGTTCAAATTAAGCAACATGTTGTTGCCAATTTGTTCCGATGTCCCTAAGTATTATTGTTGCACTATTCGACACAACTTATTTGGATATCTTACGGATAGCTATCTAACTTCTACACATAAGAAAATTGATAGTACAATGGGAAACTGTACCGCTTTGGTGTTTGTTGATAGCATATGTGATACAGGTAATAGTGATGGTTATGCTAAAGGACCCACAATGTACATTGCAACAGATGATTTGGTTGTGATGCCAATGTCCTCCATTTCTGTCATATCTTTACTAAATAGTATGAGCATTCCTGTTAATGACTTGATAGAGAAGGAGGTTAGCATTGGCGTCAAGGAGGTAGGAAGAGTTACCCTAGTTACCCTAGTTAGCATCTGAGTCTTTATGTTTTTTATTTTGCTTGAAATTATTTTAATTAGTTACGCTAGTTAGCATGATTTGCCTGATGAGTGGAGTTATTGTAATTTGCTGTATTGGTGCAGGGTGTTCGCATACTACAAGCGTCTTTGATGTCTACATCAGCCCTAACAATTGGTCTCAGCCACTTAACCAAAGTTGAGAAGAACTGAGTAAATAGATAGTATTATTCTGATGGTAGTTACTGGTACTTCTTTTGTTAATTTTGTTTTCGATTACCGTAACACTCATTATGGTTTTAATTGATATCGTGAAATCTAATGAGTTGCTGATAATGTAAAATGTTTATTCTCCGTGAATGATGATTTTACTGCTTTGTAACATCTTAGGTGCTTTTTTATTTGATCTTTTAGTAGGATAAGACCGATTATATATATATATATATATTCGAAAGTACACAACAAAGTGATGTCACTAAACTACCAAACATCTCACCTCACTCAGTGCTTATATATACAACCACAAGGCACTTTCTCCACACACACACACACACATATATATATATATATATATATCATCCTTCTTCCTAGCTAATACTTTCAATAAAAATACTTCTAAGAAAATAATATAAGAATCTTATCTATATAAACATGATTAAATATATTCTTATAAATATAATATATATTTTGATGAAATTGTGAAAAATAATTGTATTTAATTTTTGTAACATTTGTTATATATATAGAGAGAAAATGTATTATATAAATGAACAATTTGCATGCACCGCGAAGAAGACTGATATCGAATTTTGACGAGATTTACACCAGACTAAATTCTCTCTCTCTCTATATATATATCGTATTTTTGAAACGCGTTCCATCAAGATTTAAAGTAGACTGAAACTAAATTCTATAACAAATTTTTAATATAATATATGGACTGGATACTTGCATTACTTGTATTTTAATATAATATCGTAGGTTACTCTACCGTGTTAGTGGGACTCGCAATATCGCGAGGAACATTAATTTGTTTTTTTAATGGACTGAAAATTCTCGAAGCAAGACGTAGTTATGTATTTTTTTTTTAAATGATTCAAGAATATTCAAATTTTGACGATTAGGTGAGTTTTCTTGAAATTTTAGTTTCATTATATTATAATGGTTTTTAAAATACATTAAAAATTAAGAGAATTTGTAATATAAATTAAACATTAACAATCTTTTAATCATATATTTTCATGTAAGGTTTGTCATTACCATATTAAATTAGTTTTAAAATTGGTTGTATTGTCAGATATTTACTTATAAAGTTTTCATTTCACAATATAAAAATCTTTTATGTCATAATTGTGTAAATATAACTCTATAGATAATATCATATAATTTAGGATTTTCATTAAGTAGTATCCGAATATTCACGTAATAAATAAACTTAATTGCACTTTTGATTCTTCTAATTTAATGTAGGAGTAATTTTGGTCCTCATAATTTGAATAGTTTAATTTTGATCCATAAATTTAAATAATGGGCAATTTTAGTTTTACAAATAATTTATCATCCAAAATTTAACAGACGTTAATTATGTGAATTTTATGCTAAATAAACATTAATTATACATCATTTAATTTCTTACGTGTCAACTTATTTAATATTCAAATTTTAAAAATTTTAAATTCAAATAACATTGAAAACAAAATGAAAAGGGTATTGATATCAATCGCAGTGAGAATTTTTCACTAAAATAGAATTTTTTTAAAAATTTTTTACCAGAAAGCACCTTTACCAATTTATTTACCCAAGTAACACCTTTCATTGTTTACATTCAGAATTCGGTTCCCGAGAACCGAATTCTGAGCTATTAATTTTTTTTTTCGTTTTGGATCTGAGCATGGTGTAAAACTGGATCCAGAACGGTCCGTTCTCCTTTCAAAACGGTCCGTTCTCCTTTTAGAACGTGCCGTTCCGGATGCAAAAATACACACATGAAGAATGGATCAAAACGAGTCGTTCTGCTTGAAGAACGGGTTGTTCTAGTTGCAACATTAACGAAAAGAAAAAAAAAATTTAAACACTACTCAGAATTCGGTTCCTCGGGAACCGAATTCTAAGTGTGAACAGTAAAAGGTACTACTTCTGTAAATAAATTGGAATAGGTGTTATTTTGGTAAAAAAAAATTAAAATTTTTTATTTCATTAAAAAATTCTCACAATGATTGTTGGAAAGAGATGATACTGGTGGCGATCGTGGTGGAGGTGCTGGAGGAGTACACGACGTTGCTGGCGAGGGTGCTGGTGAAGAAACAAAGGGAAGGGTACGGAGGGTGTGCTGGTGAAGAAACAAAGGGAATGGTATAGAGGATGAGAAAATGAATTTGAATTTAAAATTTTTAAAATTTAAATATTAAATAATTTGACATGTAAGAAATTAAATAATATATAATTAATGTTTATTTAGCATAATATCTATATCATTAACGTCTGTTAAATTTTGAATAGTAAATTACTTGTGAGACTAAAATTGCCTATTATTTGAATTTATGGCCAAAATTAAGCAATTCAAATTATGAGGACCAAAATTGCTCCTACAATAAATTAGGAGGACCAAAAGTGTAATTAAGCCTAATAAATATATATATGTATAAGAGTAAACAATTTGAAACATAATGTCTCATAGTGGGTTATAACTCAATCATTTACACATAATACAAATATTAAGACTACAAAACATAAAAGTCCTAAATTATTGGTCAAGCAACAATTAATTATGTTAAAGTAGCTTTCACTAAAAATAAATCAACACCAGTGTGGCACAACATCCAACTCACTCTCTAGTCTAATATTGCTCTTATATTATCGTAGTCCAACAACATAAAAAAATAAAGGTAAACTTGTGTGCAAAGAAAACAATATAATATATTGAAGTCATAAACTAGCTATATAAGCATCTTCACAATATGAACACAACTTCACAACTCAACAATTTTGCCACACAACTTTCAACTCAATGATAATATTCAACAAGCATACAATCTTCAACAACTTTATTACTTTACAACACATCAACACATTATACACCTTATAAACATATTAACTAAGAGATCACTTTCAATATATGTGAATGATTTGACCCAACCAAATCAAAAACTCAGAAAGACTCATAATATTTAAGTCATACAACATAATTTTGGATACTAATCAAATATAAATGCTAAAATGATTTATGGGATATTTTTACACTTAAACTAGGAAAGTATGGTACTACTGTTAGATATAATATATTTTGAGTGTGGATTTGCCACAACATTGACATGCATTAATCAAGTCACATCTAGATTTAGTCCATTAACTATCCTTACGATACCTCGCACTCTTCCAACAATCAGTTAGGAATTTTACCCTCGACTATCTCACCATTTTTCCCCTTCCAAATATGGGATGCTTGAAGCTCTTATATAAGGGTTTGGAAGTGAAAAGTTTACTAGGCCTATGGTAGGCATCAAAATGTTTTGGCCACAAAGATGATCTTGTCACCGGAGTACACTATAGTTCTCTTTGCTTTATTATCTTCAAATATGTTTTTTTTTTCTAGAATCAAACAACCTAGTTCTCTCTTCTTGGTCTCAACCTTATATAGTAGTAGAGTTATATTTTAATTTCAATCCTATTAATTTAGATTCATTTTTATCTTTTAGCTTAATTATCTTATACTTTCATATAGCCATTTATAAATTATCTTATTTATCTTTTAATTTGTTTGAATTGATATTCTTAATGGTAAGTATATTATCTAGTAGTCTCATGGGTCAAGTCCACAAAATTGGAAAAGTGTAGATTTATTATGGGTTGATATTTATTAAGATGATTGGCCTCAAGTTGATTAATAACGAGCCTAGGAAGGAGGTTGGTCACAATCCTAAGAGAGTACAATTTTCCTTATTTGATGCTTTATGCGAGTTAATGTAACTAGTGATCGATTATCTTTCTATGACGAGATTGATCAACAATTGAGTAGACTATCAAGGTCAATCAACCTAGGCTTATAAGAATATACAACTATTAGAATTTATGTTTCATTTGATCTACTGAATTTTAGAGATAATGCCTAAAAGAAAGAAGTTTCAAAAGTAGGAGAGAAAGAAGATAAGTGTGAGATGCCTTGGTTTAAAAAAAAAAAAAAAAGTAGGAGAGAAAATATGATGTGAACCACTTAAAATTAGAATAAGGAATCATTTATAAGTTTCAAAAGAAGAGATATAGAAATTGAAATTACATACTCTTTGCGCTGAATATAAGAAAAAAATCTTATACATATGTCTTAAATAAGTAAGTTTTGATTACTTTTACTCAATTTAATGTTATCATTTCTAAAATATTTTTTTTATTTAATTGAGATTTTATTTTCGATGTATGTTTTTATTTTTGATATAAAGTTTTAAAGAAGGTTAATTAGTTTAGAAAAATAAGCTAATTTTTAAATGAGATTAGACAAATTAAATAATGTAAACAACCTTTTAATTAAGGTGAATGATTTTTTTTACTATATTTAGAATCGGATGGATTACTTATTAATTTATAAATATGTTAATAAGAATAAATATATATTCACAAAAGAATTCAACTTGTCTTTGTCTTATTTTTTTTTATAAAAATTTTACAAACAATTTAAAAATTCACTCATTTTTTTAATTTTATTTTCATCTTAATTAGTTCTTTCTTTCATTTTCCAATTTGTTTTTATCTTAATTAGTTAATTCACTTATCGAGGCTAAACAAATAATTAAACACACATACTTTAATTCTAATAAAAAACAAACATTGCTTCTATTCCTTAGAAACATGGCAAGAAGTATACTCTATATCCCTCAAAAACAGTAAAATGAAATTAATAAGAAAAGGCCAAAACTACTACCATTAGTACAATATTGTGGCGTCACCATTATCATCAAGGTCCAGGATCACGGAGCTTTCCTCTTTAATAGCCTCTTCAAGTATTTTCTCAGCCAATGCGTCCTCAACTAGTCTAGTTATTGCCCTCTTTAAAGGCCTTGCTCCATAGCTAGCATTGTTACCTTCCTCAACCAACTTTCCCTTCAATCTGACACCTATATCCACCTTTATTTTCTTCTCCTCAAGCCTTTTACAAACCCCAGAAAGCATTATATCAACTATCTTAATCAGCTCAGTCTCGGAAAGTGTTTTGAACACAACCACTTCATCAATCCTATTCAAGAATTCAGGCCTAAATTTCTTCTTCAACTCCTCCGCCACTTTAAGGTTGGCTTGATTACCAAACCCTATATTTGAAGTCATGATAATAATAGTGTTCTTGAAGTCCACAACACGACCTTTGCCATCTGTCAATCTACCATCATCCATAAACTGAAGAAACACATTGAAAACATCATTATGAGCTTTCTCAATCTCATCAAAGAGAAGCAAAGAATGAGGGTGACGACGAACAGCCTCAGTGAGCTGGCCACCACTTTTATAACCAACATAACCTGGTGGTGCACCAATAAGCCTTGAAACGTTGTGCTTCTCCATGTACTCACTCATGTCAAACCTCACCATTGCATCTTTAGAACCAAAATATTCCTCAGCCAAAACCTTGGCAAGTTCAGTTTTACCCACCCCAGTTGGTCCAGTAAATAAGAAGCATGCAACAGGTTTTTCAGGGTCCCTAACCCCTGCACGTGCCCTTCGTATAGCACGGCAAATTACTTTTACAGCTTCACGTTGTCCCACAATTCTCTTATGAAGTGTTTCCTCCAATTTCAGTAGCTTTTCAGCTTCCACCGGTGAAACTTTCTCAATAGGTATTCCTGTTTTCATAGAGATTATATGTTGTATATCTGATTTTGTGACAATTGCTTTCTTAAGCGGATTCTGATTTAGTGTTAGTTTAACTCTTGCACCAGCTTCATCAATCACATCTATTGCCTTATCAGGAAGGAAGCCATCACTATATCACATGAAGAAAAACATCACATTAAACATGTTATACGTTGCTTACTAAAATCAATTCCAAGTCGTGTAAGACTAAGAAATAACCTTATATATTGCTTTGACAAACTAGCTGCAGCAACTAATGCATCACTTTTGTATATAACACCATGAAATTCTTTGTATTTCCTGCTTAACCCTTTCAATATTTCGATGGCCTCTTCCACAGTTGGTTCAGGCACGTCCACTGGTTGGAAACGCCTCTTCAGTGCTGAATCACTCTCAATGTACATTCGGTATTCATAAAGAGTAGTTGCCCCGAGACACTGCAAAGCTCAGAATATGGTAAGATAGCACTTGGAATTACCAGCTAGTCAGAAAAATGATGCAAGTTTATGAAGTAAAGCAAGGAATTGATGCACGTGATACCTTGAGTTCTCCTCTTGCAAGAGCTGGTTTCAATATATTGGCTGCATCAAGAGGACGATCGGAACAAGAACCGGCTCCTATTAGAGTGTGAAGCTCATCAATGAAGAGAATAATTGCCCCATTACTTTGCTTCACTTCTTCAATCACCTCTACCAGCCTTTCTTCAAACTGACCGCGATACATCGTACCAGCAACAAGACGTCCCATGTCAAGTGTAAACACCTAAATGGTCATATTAACATTATGTTAGATAAAATTTCTTTTAACCATAGTATTCTCAGAAGTATTCATTATTAAAAGGGCTAATTTTTGTCGATATGTTAAATACATGTATATTTAATATCAGTGTAAACTTTCGATTTGAACTGACCTTGTTCCCTTGGAGTTTTAATGGAACATTTTCATTCACTATCGCCTGAGCAAGCCCTTCAGCAATTACAGTCTTTCCTACACCTGGATCACCTAGAAGGCATGGGTTATTTTTCCTCCTTTTGCATAATATTTGTTGGACCCTCTCTATTTCTTTATGCCTTCCTATTACTGGATCTAACTTGCCCTACATGAACACAAGGGAATGTTCATCATTAACATTAAAATTGCATAACAAAAGACAAAATATTGCTATTTCTAAGCATAATTACACAGTTACAGTTCATAGATAATAGTCACCTCTTTCGCCATTTGTGTTAAGTCAGTCCCATACTTGAGAAGCGTCATAAAACTATTCTTCTCAAGCATTTCCATCGCAAAAACGAGCTTCTCGGGCCTTCGCCAACCAACAACTTTCACATCACAGTAACAGTACCTTTCTAGTTGCTTCAATTTGGAAATAATTATGTTAGAAAGACCCAGAGTACATTTTACATTATTTATACCTAAAAACTACAAAGGATAGGCCACATCAACGTTACAGTAACATCTAAACTAAACAACTCGGCACCATATTGCACTGTTTTCAAGAATAATTATGCACTTCTCGTCGCTCCTTGTATTTACCATCGTATTTTTCGGTAAGGTTTAAAAGTTACAGTTCCAAAGGGCCGTAGTGCCTTACAGTAATTACAAAATTAAATGCATGACTATGCTTATGCAAAGGGAATGTTTCTCGTCCATTCAGTGCCGTCCATAGAGATTTTGAGAGAGAAAGAAACATTAGAGTACCATTCTTCTAGCTACTTACGGAGTAATTAAGATTTTAAGTACTCATCATTCCACCGTCTTGGGTTCCCTTTCCTTGAAACGACTCTCATAACACATTTCCTAACCAAATAATTTTTTTATACAAGTGATGACTTCATAAAAAATGTCATGCAATTTTCAAAATTAGGAGAAAAACCAATGGACAGAGGTAAAATTAAAGCTATAATAATTATCTTACTTTTCTTTCCTTGAATATCTCTCACTCTATAATAATGCACTACTGCAATTGTCTTTTGTATTTTCAACATAGATACTTGAAATGCTTAGAAAATCACATAGCAACAAAAAATATTGCACTCTTATAGAAACTTGCTATTGCCTTGCCTGCTACCATGCAAGCAGCAAAAACTAAGCAGCAGGTTACATTGAAGCTTATGGTAATCAAGGAAAGAAACAAAGTTTTGTTTGCCGAGGCAGGGGTGACTCTGCATGCGTTTTACAATGAAAATTTATAAATTTGATTTTTTTTTTAAATTTGTGAACAACATTATAACTTATTGAATACATAAATTTAAATTCTATATCAGTATATTAAGATTTAAGAAACAGGTGTGGATTATTTATTAAAACATTCCAAGTAAATAACAAAACAAGTATGAGGCATACAAGGTAACATGTTACATATTTCTAAAATTGGAAAACCTTCTCAAATTGTCCACGATAAAGTAGTAGAAATTTGAAATAGCCAGTTCCATATAGTAAAACCATGCTTGCCTCCAATAAGGATTAATGTATAAAGATGCTGCAATTGCCAATAACGTTGATGTGTATGACACCACAAAACTAACACAAAAAACATTATTGTCCATCAAGGTATCATTGTCTCCATCAATGAACAAGTCATTTGGTATAAAAGCAGGTGGAGGATTACAAATCTTTGGCAGAGGATGTCCACAAAGGAATGGGTTACCCTCATAGCTGCTTTCATCAAATGTGGAAAATTGTCCTTTACATTCAGGTGTTGCACCAGATAAATTGTTGTGTGCCACACAAAATACTTCAAGCGAGGTTAGCCTACTCAATTGAGGAGGAATTTGACCACTCAACATGTTAAAGGAAAGATCTAAACTCTCAGTTTGTATCAAATTGGAGAATGTAGATGGAATTTTTCCAGTCAAATCATTATGGGATAAGTTCAGTGCTCGAATTCTTATCAAGTTACCAAGCTCAGAAGGAATAATCCCGCTTAGTTTATTGTGGGATAAGTCAACTCCAGACATATAATTAAGGACATCCCCTTCATAAGTGTAGGATATTTTCTTCGTAGTGAAATCTACCTTTTCTTCTCCAATCCGAATGCCAACTGAAATACTTCTGTCAAAAGGCATTTTACCCAAGCAATTGGGTATTGGACCAAAAAAGTTGTTATAAGAAAGGTCTAGCATACGTAAATCTGATAACTGGCATAACTGTTTTGGTATATGCCCTGTAATGTGATTACCTTTCAATATGAGAATGTCTAACCCTGAGTTTTCAAGTTCCATTACCAATTCTTCAACACCATTGGTTAGTTCATTGTAGCTAAGGTCTAGTAGCATCACTAAGGATGAGTTTCCATTGAACATGTTTTTAGACAAGGAACTTAACCTATTATCACTCAAACGAATGAACCTGGTGCAAGAATTGGCAAAAGATGGTACAAGACCAGTGAAATCATTTTTTGAGATATCTAGAAACATTAGAGATTTAAGCTCCATAACAAATCTTGTTGAAATAGATCCTTCAAGATGATTGTTGGACAATGAAAGTGCTATTAAGTTTGACAAATTTCTGACCACATCTGGTAGCTTTCCCCTTAAATGATTATTGCTTAAATCCATGACAATCAATGATGTGGCAGGAAAACTATTTAAGATACTTCCAGAAAAACTATTGTCGTCCAAATACAACTGCTCCAAATTTTTCAATGTTAACAAAGTAGGAAACAAGGATCCATCTAGCATATTGTTAGAAAGTTTCAAAATTCTGAGTTGACACTTATCCCCAGATATATTCTTTGGTAGTTCTCCAGATAAATAGTTGTACGAGATATCCAATGTATCCAATAAGTTCATTTGGCCGAATTCATAAGGTGTGGTACCTAGAATGTCATTTCTAGACATGTTCAAAATTTGCAAATTTGGAAAGATTGAACTGATATTGCTAGGTAATTGACCAACTATGTTATTATCAGACACATCAATCTTCTTTATCTTGAGTATAGGACGTGATGGAAGTTGGAAAGTACCAGTCAAAGAGCAATGTCTAACATGAATTTCAGTCATTTGTGTGTTATTTTCCAATAACCAATGAGGAAACTCTCCTTCCAACTTCCAATTGCTAAAATCCAAACAGGTTAAATTGTATTGGTAAAGAAGAAAATTGGGGAATGGAAGAGAATTAGTCTCAATTGTTGAAGACAAAATAAGCACTTGTAATTGAAATTTTGGAATCCAAGTTTGTAATCTACTTTCTGAGTCTAATATGAGTTTGTTGCCTTCACCATAAATGAACTTGAGTTTTGAGTGATTGACAAATGGTGTGAAAGAAATAGGAACCTCAAATTGGTTTTCTCCAAAACCAAAATATTCAAGTGATGTAAGACTTGCAAGGTTAGAATCAAAATTTCCAGTGAAGTTATTTTGAGAAAGTTCCAACATCCGAAGAGATGTCATGTTAACAAAAGTTGAGGGAAGTGACCCCTCAAATTCGTTATCGCATAAATCTAATGCCTCCAATTTCTTCAACTTAAACCAATCTGAAAAGGAAATTTTGACAAATTAAAGAAAAATCGTCTTATAAAGAACTTAATGAAAAGGATATACATATTCTAACTAACTAAGAAAAGAACTATGCAGTATAAATGTTATGAATAACATAACAAGATAATCTAATGATTTAATTACCAGCAGCAGGAAGTATGCCTTTTATTCCACAGCTTGAAAGAGACAAAACTTTTAATGAGGTCAATTCTCCTATACTTTGGAGGAATTCGTTCCCTAGGTTTGAATTGTAGTCCAATGCCAAATGTTCAAGATTTTTTAAATCATTAAAATCTACATAATAGAAAACAATTGACATAAGCCTTGTTATAACAAAAATGAAACTGATATAACTAAAGCAAATTAAGAATTATTACTACCTCTAGCAATAACTGTTTCGGTAAATCTAATTTTACTCATGGAAAGCACAGTAATAGATGAGAAAGCTCTTAATGATTCCTTCAATTTGCTTCCCTTTATCATATTGTTATCTAAAGCAAGGACCTCTAATTTTCTTAGTCCTTTTGAGCCTGAAATTGAAAAATGGAAATAAATTTTTATGTAGCAGAACATGAAAAAACAAATATGTCTCAACTCAAGTTACACAAGATTCAGTTAAATTATACTATGATTTTGCAACCAGAATGATGAATTTATATGCGATATATGTTATTCATCTCAAAACAATTATATTGTAGCAAGAAGACAACAAATTTAAACCTTTTTATATCATTTGCTTAAAATACCTTGGCATGCTACAAGATTGTTGATTTGGTTATAGCTAAGATCGAGAATCTCCAAACTGATTAAAGTAGATAGTCCTGCAAGATATAAATAGAGAGCAAAGTATTATATTGTCATTCATATATAAAGTCATTTTTTTTTCCACTCAAAATGTAAGTATTACATTAAAAATATATATATATATATATATATATATATATATATATATATATATATATCCACCAAACCACTTACTATCCAAGATCTTCAAGCTGAGATCAACAATCTTAAAAGGGAAATTAGGAGTATTAAGGAACAACAGGTCCTTCATCAAAG